CTGATCTTGGGCGTAGGTTTCTTTTTTTTTAAGTTCAGTGATTTAAATTGAGAGAAAAAAATCTGTCAGAATTTAAATCGTACCGGCAATTTCCAACTAAGAGTCCTCTAAAACCATGAATGGTCATGCTTCACAATCATCAGAATTTTCTTTGCATTGTTACATTCTGTATCGGTAGTGATTTACCTTTACATTTCCGGGTATAACAGAGCTACTTGTATATTACATGTATGTGGTTAGGTGACGTCCCATGAGGTCTTACGTATACAGGTTCACATTTATAATGGTTTCTGATAAAAACAAGGTTTTATGACATTCACACTCCTGCATGTTCTGTATACCAAATTCTTATCTTATTTTCAGACCAAACGAGGATGTGAATATTTTCCAGGAAAAATATTGAGTATCAAAGTATCAAATTAATTTCGGGATTTTTTTCTTTCTTTGTATTAAATCACAGAAACTTAAAGAATATACTGCTTGTCCGCTTTAGGTGTATTCTTGTCGGTAAACGGACAGAAAGTCACAGGACAAAAAGTCACAGGACAAAAAGTCACAGGATATAAAGTCACAAATTTGATAGGAAAAAAAGTCACAGAAAAGTCACAAATAATTTGTTGACAATTGTTTGAATACATAAGAGAAAGATCTTGAAATATTTTCTTTTTATTACATATATCCATTTTTAAGTTAAGGAAATTGTTCATAAGCCTTGATAAATGAAAATTTATTAAATTTTAATCATTCAAAGTATAATTTCTTGGCACCATGAAGCCATTTAAGTACTAATCCACTTTGACATTTTGTTTCCATAACAATTATTTGATCATTATTGATATTTATTGAATAAATGTTAATAACAAAGTTGCTTTATATATAATAGTTCAAGAAGAAAAAACAAAAAAATTTTTTTTTAAATTAGTGTTTTCTTGTTCAAAGAAAAATAAATTTAAAACTGAATTGGGACTTTTTGTCCTGTGACTTTCTGTCCTATATTCTTCTTGTCAGTTAAGACTGACATATATGTCTCTGGTATATAGTGGGTTTATGAATGAATGATAAGTCTTGCAAAGGTACAAGATATAAAGCACATTGAAAATTGATTCCGCCGGTCTGTCTCAAAACTTCAAAAAAGGAAAGTTGACGTTAGATTGATTCTGTTTTTTTTAAACATCGTTGGTCAAATAGCTAAAGTATGTATACGTTGTGAGATTTTAAATATTTTAATAAGGGCATTCCCGATTAAGTAAATGTAGATCGCTGTGGACGGACCAAGCTATATTAATCATGTAACCGCGATAATTTTCTCTAAACATTGAAATATTCAAGGTTAATACCCATGATAATTTGAAAAAGTAAGTACAGTGTATGGTTTATACGCTCATTTTCGTGGGCCATTTTTATTTATAAAATTATTTAATTGAAAGTAATTCAGAATTTCGATGTTACAACAAATACTCACCTATCTATTTTAAAATTAAGCTTACGCAAAATATAAAAGATATACATTTATATAACGGCGATTCAGGTATTTTGCCACCATATTCCTCCCCAAATAATTAATGTTTTTATCATTCATACGAAATGTTGTTCACACCTGTAACGGTGAACCGTGTTGGCTAAAAGGTGTCTTCCTGCTATTCCTACATTTTATAAATACATATTCCTTCTATTCCTACAAACAAAGAACAATAGATTTTGGTATATGGTGTTTTGTTGTTTTAGTAATTTAAATTTAATTAAAATACAGGTAAGTACAGGTAATCTGGAAAGGATGATTACAATGATAAAAATAAATAGAAAAAAAGTAGATGCATTGCAAAGAGTATAGAACAGAAAATTCCCCAAAATGAATGTATTTCTGTTAAAAATGTTTTTAAAATAATAAAACCCTAATACGACTTTAATTTTAAAGTTTAATAGATATTTTAAGGGGATATTATATTGTCCGGTGAACTTTATAAATTTTGACTATGTTCTAATTAAATGGCGTTGTTGCTAGAATAAATGCTACAAAAGTATTATTATTTTTATTATTATCATCAAGGATTTGTAAATCTATCTATACAGATCCTTGTTATCATTGATGTTTTGGGTGGCGGCTTTCCCGGTATGGATCTTGCGCCCTACTAAACACTCATTGTGTGAAAAATTAAAATTTCCTTAGTGTTTCGTATTGTTTCATGTGAGTTCTGGAGTTGTGAAGTCCTTACTTTGTTGTGAAGTTGTACTCATGTAAAATGATACAGGATTTTGAAATATTGATGTTGACATTGCATGATGAATATAAGCTAATTATAATTGCTTTGATTTGAGTGGTAATAGTAGCCGGTAAATGAAATAAATAAAACTAGATAAATGAATGAATCTCAATGTCCATCAGGAAGATTGAGATTATATATTGCTACCCGATAGCCCAGTGTCAATTATATATATATAAAAAAAAGCCAAAGCTATATATGCGTCAAATAAGTAAAACATTGATAAATAAATAATAAATTTATGTTACATTTCTTTAACCTACTTTGAGCTTAGCAAAAAATATTATATCAGAAATTGCCATAGATACCAAGAGACCAGTTTGATTTGTAGTCCCCTGTTCAGTGAGGATCGTCGGGGTGATATGTATTGACCTCTACTGCCCTCACTGACTACTGGGTAGAAAGTAATTGAAGTATCTGGAACAACTATGCAACAGATGGCCCAAGAACTACAAATCATCTAGAGGGCTGGTACAGCAGATTAAAGAAATTGATCAAGGCACACCACCCAAACATATTTAGTCTTGTTAAGCTGCTGAGGCATGAAGAGGCGATTCATGCGTGCAAACTACTCCAATATGCAGCAGGAGGGAAGCATGTACCAAGGCTAATTATTATTTTTCATGAACATGATGAAATAAATAAAATGGAACTTTACCGATCTTTTTTTTATTATTGTCCTCGGTGATATAAGAGGAAACACACATAATACAACAGTACAAAAATAGACAAGAATAAATATTTCTTTCAATAATTTGTATCGTTTTATACTGTTAGTACAAAATGTACACTAAAATTGCACATGAATTGAAAACTAAAAGGTATTTCATTTAAATTTACCCGAAGTTAATTAGCTTCATGTTTTTACAACCTAATCCGATTTAGTCCCATGTTTGTACAAGCATTCCTCCTATTCCTACATGGTTTTCTTACATTTTACATACCGAATTATCAAATGTAGGAATAGCAGGAATAAACCGGCTAAAATTCACTGAGTGAAGATCAAAAAGAATAGAATTACAGAATGCTAATCTTTTTATTACCTTGAATTTAACCACGCATTCAACAGGTAGTCACTAAGTGTCACAGTACAATACACATTGTATTTTCACAGTACTAGTTGGAAATGTTTGCTAGACTGAAGTAAAAGCCGTCAGGTGAGAATACAAACATATGCATTTGTAAAACAATATCAGTTATATATGTTTGTTCAAAATATCCGTCGGAAAAAAAATCATAAAAATATATTCTATTGTATGATTTACTTTTATTACTGTAATCATATCAGAAATCCTTTAAATATAAATCGTATATTTTAATTTTGAAAGTTGCACGGCTGATCACTTTACTTTCTTAATTATTAGTTGGTTAATAGCTACGCCAAATGTTGTCGATGCGCTTTAAATCGCGTTATTAGATGATTAACGAACAAGACTTATAATGAGATTTATTCACTCCCGGCATGCAAAAAGACTTAAACTACGTCACATAAGTCAGGAAGTTGGAATAAATTAAATTATTAATTCCCAATTTTCTTCTTTATTAGTGTTCATATCCAGATAAAACTTGGTAAATATGTTTTTTATGGTATTATGAACATAATAAGATGAAAAGTAAAAAATCGCGAATTTTACCTTTAATAGTGCAGGGATACAGGCGATCCCCTCTACCTGGTAAATGACGTCATAAAGTCGCGCATAACTGACGAGTTTTTTTTCGGTGACGGATGAACTCGAAAGTGGTCTTTTGATTCAAGGGGTAAGTATGGGGTACCCTACATGACGAATATGACGGTAACATATTTGTTGAACTAACACTAAGGATCAACGTTTTACTCCACTTGAAGCTGCTGACGGTAGCTACAAAATCAGACTTGACGAATCACGATAAAAAGGAATAAGGCTTATTTAAGGTTTATGACCCCTTCTGTAGCCATGTGAATTACGAAATTTTCAAACTGCAATAGTATCAAAATAGCAAAGATAATGCATAATAGAAATATGCCATTTTGTACATATACCAAAGAGAAACTTCGTGCAAAGCAATATTATTTATTGTTTCCTTGTATTTAATAGAAAAAGGGGATTTTGGGAAGATAAAACCAAATTTTTTGTAGAAAATCTACAGACTTTAATACAGAGATTTTTGTTATAAAATTTTAAACATAGATTACTCACTTGTTTTTCTATGACGTGCTAGCGTTTATTGTTTACGAAAAGTCCTAAATACTATATATAGTAACCTTTCAATTCCCAAAAAACTCGTGCTGAGTCACTAAAGTTGGGCGCACCCTAGAAGGTGTACTTGAATTGATCCATTTTTATAGTTATTTTTTTTACCGATATCTAAATTTATAAATATGTTTTACGGAAATCAATGCTGTCACTGCATGCAATAATCATCTACCTATCGAGCACCAAATTGGGTGAAAAGTCATAACCATGAAAACTTAACATTGACAAATACTAGTAAACCGTTTAAGATGAGCTCAAGGTGACCTAAAACCTACAAGACAATCATTCACACCTTATAGTCATTTCATACACCAAGTTTAAGTATACTATTTCCTATAACATTTGATAACTAAACATTGTAAAATGAACCATGAAATTGAGGTCAATGTAAGATAAAACCTACTAGTCGGACATGTACACCTTACCATCATTCCATATAGCAAATTTTAGGGCCATTATGCTTATAGTATCTGAGAAATGGACAAAATCACAACAAGAGTGCACACGCTGAAATGTCTCACCTTCTTTATTGACCATTGATTTTATTTTGATAATCCTAAATACAAAGCTCTAATACATGCATCACATAAACTTAAAATGATCCAGGAAATGAGTCAAGGTCAGATAAACCAAACGGGAAACACATGTCATCAATACAACCGTTTAATACACCAAACATAGTTGACCTATTGATTATAGTTTCTAGGAAACAGACTTAACCAGGAACACTAAACATTGACTAATGAATCATGAAATTGAGATCAAGTTCAGATGAACCATGCCAGAAATGTGTATCTGGTGCAGTAAACTTGATACTGTTAAAATATTAATTTAATACATAAAGTGTTTTGGTGTGACACCTGTAAGTTATACAGTTAATTTAAGTACTTAGAAGAGGAATAATTACTCCTTGTAACGATATGAAACTTAATGTCATTCAGACATATATTGTTAATGTTATCAGGGTTTATAGAAAAGAGGAAATGGACCAAAAACACACAGCAAAATAGACAAAACATAATTATCATAAATAAAGAGAACAATCGACCAAAAATAGACAAGATGCTGTAAAAGATACAGAAAATCGGATTTTCCTGTAGGGGTCGAACAATGGCCAGTTGAGCAAGTATATACACAACATTTAAGCTTAAAACAGCTCTGACGGAAACTTCATAATATTAGGCATCTATATACAAAGTATGAAGGATCCAAGTCTTCTACCTTCTGAATTATTATGTTTTAATAAGTTTGTTAACGCCGCAGTGGCCGTCTATGCCAGATCACTATCCCTTTGTCGAGCTTTCTGCGACAGAAGTTGCAGATTCGACAAAAATGTGAATTTAGATATCAGTGTACACGTTTAATACACAGAAGCATGATCTTCTATCCTTTAATGTGGCATAAGTTCTTTCTCAGCATTTTTTCATGCATCATATTCAACATGTCCTAATGCGGTTGAATACATATGTGTGTCTGTGAATTCATAAACTGACTAAATCCTCTTCCACATACATCACATTTAAAAGGTTTATCACCGGTGTGTATTCTCATATGGGTCCTCATGGTGTGTCCAAGACTAAATCCTTTACCACATACATCACATTTATAAGGTTTATCACCGTTGTGTATTCTCATGTGTATCCGTAAGCTATAACTATTAGGGTAACTTTTACTGCATTCGTCACATTTATACTTTTTGTCACCAGTATGTACGGTAATGTGTCTCTGTAAGTTACCACTATGACTAAATGCTTTACCACATACATCACATTTATAAGGTTTATCACCAGTGTGTGTTCTCATATGGGTCCTCAAGTTCTGTTCAGAACTGAATTCTCTTCCACATAAACTACATTTATAAGGATTATCTTCAGTATGTTTATCTCCAGTATGTATTGTCATGTGTTTCTGTATACCATAAATATGCATAAAAAATTTTGCACATACATCACATTTATAAGGTTTTTCTCCAGTATGTGTTCTCATATGGGTCTGTAAGGTACCATTCTGCCTAAACGCCTTAACACATACATCACATTTAAAAGGTTTATCACCGGTGTGTGTTCTCATATGGGCCCTCATGCTCTGTCCAAAACTAAATTCTCTTCCACATACATCACATTTATAAGGTGTATCTCCAGTGTGTATTTTTATGTGTGCCTGTAAGGTATCTATCCGACTAAATTTTTTGCCACACATATCACACTCATAAGGTTTATCACCAGTGTGTGTTCTCATGTGTCTCTGTAAATTATTTATAAGCATAAAAACTTTTTCACATACATCACATTTATAAGGTTTATCTCCAGTGTGAGTTCTCATGTGAGCTTGTAAATTACGATTCTGCCTAAAATCTTTACCACATACATCACATTGATATGGTTTATCACCTGTATGCAATTTCATGTGTTGCAATAAGTTAAAATTTTGACTACACTCTTTACCACAAACTTTACATTTATAAGGTGTATAACCAGTGTGTGTTCTCATGTGTATTTTTAAACCATGATTTGTACTCAGCCCCTTATTACATATATCACATTTAAATATGTTGAAAGTCTTTTTATCAATGTGTGATCTCATATGCGACTTCAGATTTGTGCCGTTACTGCAACGTTTACCACACACTTTACATTCATAGTCATTTTTGCCTGCATTTGAGATGAAGTGTTCCTTTGACTTGTCCGTTGTCTTAACAAGGGAGATGATCATGGAATCAGGTGTATTTTCGTTGTTAGACATTTTATTTGTATCTTTTCCTTCTCGTCCACTTCTTACATTCTCGATGAATAAAAAAAAACACATTTAACATAGCTGTATATATATATATCGATTTATCCTGCAATTAGCCAACTATTGTACAAATAATAGGTATACAAATAAATTTTTCCTTTATTCGTTCTTGTTAAAATAAAGTCTCCTGTTACCCCACGTCCATGTTGAGCAAGCGGTAATATGAATATTTGTGTCTCCTAACCAGTTTATTTTGGGGTACTCTACGCGGTCTGCGTTTCAACTATGTCGATTTCTTTGATTGATCGTTGGTTGCTAAACGTCCAGTGGTCGATTTCTTTGAGAAATTAGAGACAATGATTCAGATTCTAATAAGTAAATTTTCAAGTAATTTCAGGATAAACACAATATATGTACATTGTCGGAAAATATAATATTTATACGTCAATGACCTCAACTAACCTATTAGCCACGCCTACTTACCGGAACTACTGTATTTCATCAACAATGTCACGTCACAACCATGACAACGTGTATCCCGCAATGGTGGTAAGTCGTGCACTTAAGGCCATTTTTTATTTAATTTTTCTGTAGACTTAGCTTTGTTTTTTTATTACTGTGTATTGTCAAGCTTGGTTACTCATAATTGTTTCTCAGTCACTGAATGTACGATGTTGTTTCATACTGCAGCAGATGACCCGGTTTGATTACATTCAAATTCTAATGGCTTCAAAACCACGTGACACATTGAATCGTTATATCCAATCAAATTGCTCTACTGTCAATTAGGTGATTTTTTAGTACAAGGCAATTATATTATTTGTTTGTATGATATTGCTTTGAAATAGTTTGCAATAAATTGGGGGTTTATTCAATAGGAAACCTCATTATTAGCCATGAAATTCGATATCAATGGAATTTTATATGAATATTTACTTATGGTCAGAATATCGATCTCTTTATATTGAACCAATTTTTTTTTTTATGAAAAATATATGTATGTTGTTTTTTATTAACCTACTCTATATTCCTGAACAAAAATATGGCATGATTATCGTTTGTTTCCCAAAGTTTTTCTTTCAATTTGGATGGGTTTTTTTCGCGGGAAAATCGCGTAAGACGTAAGGTGCTTGCCATTTTGAAATTCTTAAAAATACGATTTGCTTGGCCTGTTTGGTCTGCCATTAAGATTGATGACGCTAAATGGAATGTAAACAAAGCAATGGAGGCCGGAAGAGGGGATTTCTGAAGTTCTGGAATGTTTTTAGGCATTCGGAAGTCAGGTTTGAAACGGCCATTAGAAAATTGGCATTTTTGTACAATGCTTTAGAATAACAATGAAAACATATCTTTAGAAATGTTTGTTTATTTAGAAGTGTAGAAAAAATGTATTCTGCACTAATTTTGTACGCTGGTATTGGCGTAGTGACGTCAATGCGGAGTTTTCCCGTGTGATAAGTACAATAACAAAATCCGAACGAACCAACATTATGACCGATTATAGACTACGGTAGGATAGTAACAATTGTCAAACTTTTGTAAATTTAAACTTGTTATGTCTTGAAATTCGTAATTTACATACCATGTTTATTAAATATTATTAAATTAGTTTATTTTCTCTTTCTAATTCCTAAAAAAGTCAATGTCTTATCGCCTGGACTTTATGAGTTACTACGCTTATAGGGAAATACCCAGACAATGGTACCCCAAGAGGGAAATTCCAAACACTTTTTTTTAACAATAAATTTGTTACGTTTTTTATTTTTTTTTTATGTTTTTTATCGATTTCAGTATAAAGACAATATACGTATAGTGTCTAATTATTTGTTCTCGCTATGAAGCAACAGAGCCTCGCTTTTCGTCCTGTTTCTCTTCTTCTTCCTTTATAGTACAGGCCTCCCATGGGAGTAGTATCCTACTGTTTTATGCACATGTTCTATGTGAGAACAACAAATGTGCGGGTAAGTGCGAATTATCTACAGTGAAAACGGTGCTTCTTTTCTAAAGCTCATACAACATGTACAAATAAATTTTATATTTTCCGACAACATACATATATTGTATATGTATGTGTTGTATATGTATGTGGTTTATATAATTACATTAAAATAAGCAATAAATCACATACACAAAGTCATGGAGTCTACAGAAAAGAGATTAAGGTTAAACATAGGTCAACAATCACATCAAATTCTAAATGTAAATTATAATTCACGCGCATCAATGCCTCATTAAGCAGGAAGATGTCAGAGTCACAGCAAACCGTATTTTCCTGCAGAGGTCGAACCCTGAGCAGTTGAGCAAGTATGGACACTAAATTTATAAGCTTATAACAGCTCTGAATTTGGATTGTTATCGTATATTTGAGTATAGGTTTGTGACACAAAATGAATATGGTCAAAGAACTGAAATATTTGAAATTGGACATTTACCTATTATAATCCAAAATCTAAGTACATTGATAGAATCAGCATATCAAATAACCCCAAAGAATTCAATTTTTGATGAAATCAAACAAGTTTAAATTGAACCACAAAATGTTGAATAATCTTCTATTCCTGGCTCTCTAATACATTTATCCAACTGTTTGTGTCATTCATGTGCACATGTGTGTGATCAGTATTTTCCATAGATTTGATTTTCAAAAGTTAAAATAGTAAAATATAGTTTCTTTTTTGTGTAACCATGGCAAAATTCTGCATGTATTTACCATAAAATATTGCAAAAAGGGGGATGGAAATGTCACATATTCTCCACAAATTTGGTTCAAACTAGAATTTCCCTGAAATTTAGAATATTTTATGGAAAACAACCCATCCTGATGTATAAAAAGTACTTAAATTAAATAAAATAGGGGTTGATAATTTCTATCAAAATAAATCAATAATTGCAATTGTATTCGACACAAACAAGAGTATTCTTTTCCTCATGAAATTTAAACATAAAAAAAAATTTATATTGGTGCCTTTGAAATAAATAGTTACAAATAACACTGAATTATTTTTTATCAAATGAAATAAAAGTTATCATTTTAAACAATGCAAACATAAATTTATAGTGTATTTTCTTTTAATTTCTAATGAAAAACAGCATATAATGAAGAACGTAAAATACAAAAATCTAATGGCGGTCAATAATTTCCATTAAAATGAAGAAATGATTGCTTTCTTATTCAATTAAAACGAAAGTTTATGTATATTTAAAAGAAAGTCTGCGTTTATCACTGACTCATAAGTAATGTGGAGTTCGTTTTAAAATAAGAGTTTTAATATATATGTATCCGTCCAATTGGTGTATTTATATTTAATTTCGCTGTCAAAGTAACTTTCACATAGCTTATTTGACGTATTTGACAGATTCTATGGTTCATCGATCACAGATCTGTCATGGACCAGTAAAAGTATCCATCACTGATCAGTCACCGATCAGTCATGTTCACATCAAACAGTAACGCCAGTGGCAGATCCAGAAATTTTCATAAAGGGGGGGTGGGTACTGACTACTTAAGATGGCCTCGCTCCCGTCATGCTTCAGTGGTTCCCTATATAATCAACCAAATTTTACAACAACAAAAAAGTACCAAAAAAAGAGGGTTGCCCGACCCCGCTAAATCCGCCTCTAAACGCCTCATGTACATGACATTTTTAACATTGAACTGAGCAGGCTTTTCAATAGCAGCCATTCATAGTGTTTTAAGAACCATTCTATACTATTCGCAAGAAAAGAATTTGTATAAAAAGAGTTTAATAACGGAATCAAATCTAAAATTGACGAAAAGAATATAACAGTACACGGTTAATATTGTCCTAAAACTGTTAATTAGACGTTCCATAGAAACATAAATTTTCTATACGTTGTTAAAAAAAAAAATATCTTATTTACATGTAAAGTGTCGCAGATTTTATTTAAAACAAACAACATTGTCTTCCAAATATTTACATCAACACTGATAAACGATATTGATCGATCTGATATCAGCGAGTGTAAGTCACTAAGTGTCGGTCGACTTTATTATTTTTATTATCTGAATACGTAGTGCACATTTCCTTAGTAAAAACTTATTATTTGCGGTGAAGTTTTTGTATAAAGTTTGAAATTATTATATAAAGTAACATTGCTTACTTACTGCAAGTTTATTGTTGACTCGTGACTGTGTGTATAAATCAAAATAAGACAGGTGTGAAATCAAAGGGCGATAACCACGAATGAATTTCTATGGAACACCCATGGAACTCAAGGAAGTACACCACTAATTCATGGCCCCATTGCTTTCTATGTTAAATTCCTCAATTTCAAGCAGACACAGCTCTTTTGTTTCAAGTTCAAATAAAGTGACAATCATTGCATGTCAAAGCAACACTTTATGGTGTCTTGTACTGGAAAAATCAACATACCTTTAATGGCATATAAGAAAGAACTGGTTCCCGGAACTTCGGATGTACCAAAACAGGTACTTCAGATCTGACATACAGGCAAAAAGTACCCTCTTTATAAAATTTGGTGCAGTTTTTTTAATATTCAAAATTATAAGTCAAAAAGTGTTCTACAATGATCACCAGTCATTCAGCTTTCATTTGATACCAACAATACCTAAATATTCTACATATTTTGAAAGCTACACTCATGCGTAGGAACTATTTTGTGTTAAATATGTACTACTTTCTAGTATGTGCTTTCTGGCCGGGCCGAATTAGTGGTGTTACACCTCAAGTAATACAAGTAATAGCTTTTCTAAAAATCTTGCTGTGTTACTCTGCATAATTGTACAGTTTGAAAAGTTTAGAGTGGTGGGCGCATATTCGCCATGGACACAAATTCGCCGTTTTGCTATTTTTTCTGTAAAATGTGTGTGCCTTTACCCAGTACTTGCATAAATAGATAGTAAAGTCTTTTTGTAATGTTCTTACGGTTGATATTCCTCTTTACCCCCTTTCCAAGGTTTTTCGCACTTATAAAGGAATACGCAGGTGTTTTTAAACAATTTTTGGCTATTATGCAAGATTTATATGGCAATCATGCGCAGTCTTAAAGTAAATATTTGTGAGAAAAATCGTATAGGAATGATCTATCAAGCTTATTCATTTAATTACAATCATTCGTTTTTATAATATACCAGGATAATGAGGATGATCATATCATACATTGCGGCGAAAATGTGTCCCCCATGGTACACGAACAACTTAATTTACTCTTGAGTTTGCGTTCAGTTTTAGAACAATTAACCAATGTTTTGAAGATAATTCCGTTATCAAACAGTTTTTTCATATAGCAAAATTTCTAAATCCTACATAAAAAGTTCCAAATATTTGAATGTAGGTCAGATGTAAGTGGAATGAACGAATTATGCAGCGAATATGGGTCACTCACTCTAGTCTTTTTATTTCAACCGTGTGAGTGATTTTACGCCGATTATAAAATTGGTGATTCTCCTAACATAGGAGGGAGTTGCAGTACAGGTGTATTGGGGGTAAAACATCATGTATGATATAGGGCCTATATTAGTTCCAGGATAATGGCAGATTTCAGTGGCGGATCAAGGGGAGGGGGGGGGGGAGGATTGGAAACCCTCTTTTTTACGATCAATGCATTTAAATGGGGACATATAGTTATAGAACCTCTACTTTACTTTACTTTAGTCTGTACTGTTCCGCCTAAATCAGACGACCCACTTTTCAATGTGAATATCATTAAAATTGTCATTTAATCCAATGCACTAAAATTGTTCTTTTATACACATTAACCACCACCTCTTTTTACACACGAGAATAAGTACATCCCTTGAAATATATACACGACAGAAATATATAACCATCCATTTTATCCTTTTTTTTAATGACTGGATTTAGCAGTTAATTTCTAAATCTATGGCAAAATTTCTGCAAATGGAGGAGCCGGAAGTTAGTACGTACGTATCTGACAAAGTACTTTAGCTCAAAATGATGTAAAAAGCCTTCAAGGATATCAGAAGTCTAAGATAGGGCTTTTTTTAAAATATAAAGAAGGTGATTTGGTACAATAGTACTGGATAGCTGCTGGGACTATTAGTATAATTGTCCCAGATAGGTGGCGTAAAAGTTCTGCAGTTTAAGCTAAACAAAATATAAAGAAACAAACTGCTCTGCATTTCAAAAACGTATGAAAAAAAAGCAAAATGCAAAATGCATTCCAAAGACACAATAGAAATCGTATAATTAAGGAACAAGGTACCCCAAACAACACAGACGAGGACGAGAAAAGAAGGAGCGGAAACAACCATGAAACGATAACATCAAAAACACCATACTCCCCTGCAATTCCAGCTCCAATCCGCATACTACTCTACATCAAAGGCGGTGGTAGTGATGGATGGTCCCGTACGAAATTATAAGGCGTATTTTGCCTGGAACTCTGGCGTAAACCATACGTAAGTGGTAGTTACGTGTCCAGACCCAGGCGTAAGGGAGCAGGAAACGTAAATTTGTAGACTTACAGGCGTAGAAAAAGTGAGAAACCTGGCGTAAATTGAAATAAGCAAGGCGTAACTTTTCTTACGGGCGTAAAACTGTTGGTTTGGCGTAAATCATAATACCCATAATGCTTTGTTTAAAGGTTCATGGGATTTTTTTTCAACTTTTGGCTCTTTGATATTTGTTTACAAGTCGGTTGGACTTATAGCAGCTATATAAATTCAGGGATAATTAACTTGTTTTGTGCTTTTGGAAGAATTTTAAATTGGCATCGTGGAAACAAATTGATAAATGAAAATTAATTGTGAAATAAAAGGAAATATGTAGTAAGAATAATTATGTAAGTAATTAAGTTATTAAGTTTTTATCTTTTGTCAGTAATTTTGAATTCTGAAAACCTTTATCCTTGGATAATAACATTAAAATCTTTCACATGAAGTTAAATTGCAGTACATTGTAGTATCATTGATATTTTAGTTTAAATGACATTAATTTTCAATAAAAAAATTAGTTAAAATGCTAGTTATACATAAGGAAAAATTAATTGTCATAATTCTTCTTTAATTTACATAAACTCATTTGAGACAGTATATTTATAAAGCTTCTTCAAAGGTTAATATTTCAAGTTTTATGTCAAACACTGAGAAATTATTAAGCAACAGACTTACAATACAGAAGTTAATGTATCAAATACACAAAAGTACACAGCTAGCTAGAGTAATACACTGATTTAAATTGAGTGTAGAATTATTTAAGGATATTACGCCTGGTTTATTTATTGAACAGGCGTGCTCATTTGCATATAACGCCTGGTTTTCTGAGGACCAGGCGTTCTCATTTAAATATTACGCCTAATTTTAAGCCTGGTTTCCGCCTCAGTTACGCCTAGCTGGTTGACGCCTAAAACATGCATTCCTTAAACACTGCAATGACGCCCAGATAAAGTATGATTTCTACGCCTGGTTCGTGTCATATACGGGC